CCCCTCCCCCAAATTCCCTCCCCCAGCCTCACCTGCAACCCCCCCAGGTCCCTCCCCACACCCCAACCATGAACCGAGCCAATAGAAGACCCCCCGATCTTGTTGAAAGGAAGTAACAATCATTAGCCAGGTGTGGGCACATCGCAGTGGGGGAACCGGATTAAAATTGAGATCAGAGATTTCCCCCCCCCCCCAACTAGAAAAACGGGGGTCAAGCCCTTTAAAAAAAAACATCTGCTCAGAGTCTTACAACAGAACCGGAGAGCAATGTATTGCCAGGGTGCACGCCAAACCGCGCTTCGAGACGGCCCCAAAACCTGGCTTCCGGCCCCCCCGAAAAGAAACCCTACCCAGCGAGTCTCCCTCCAGCCTTAAATTCTCCGAACGCCAGCCCCAAAATGACAGCGATACAACGGAAAAGTCAAGGGGCCGGCCACGCCCGGCTTCGAACTTGCCTGCAGATGCCTCCAAACCCGCAAAAGAAAACTGGGGATGGTGGCAAACCCTAAAAACCCACCCAGTTTCTTGGAGTTAACAGGGGGAAAAAGGATCCGGGGTTTTGATGCACAAAGCGGGTTGAAATCCAACTGGGAAATGGAAGGGGGGGGGGAAATACGTGGACAGGTTCAAAACCCACCTGAGAAACAGCTCAAAAAAACAAGGTATGAACCCTAAAAACGGAGGGGAGGGGGAAATGAATCCAATTATGAAACAGGAAAAGAAATCAAACCCGGCTCAGGAACAGCCAAATCAGTGGGACAGTGCCCTCGAAATCCAGCCTCCCCTCCCATTGCAGAGATGGGAGTACGGGGGGCACCCCTGTTCTCGGTCCCTCTTCTGGAAAAACAGGGGGGCAGGTGAAGAGAGTTTAAAAGTCAAATTGAGGGGAGTACAGGATGACATAGATTCAAGGCCGGGGGGTTGCTTAAGGGGTGCAAAGAGAAGCCGGAACATATATTGGGGGGCACATCTGGACCCCCCAAAAGAATGACTGGTAGGGCAAAGCCAGAGCTGAGAGATACTTGCTCTCAGACTAACAGAGTAGGGTAGATGGGGGGTCAGCCCCCCACTCTTCACCAAGGGGGTCCCCAAGTCCGGGAGGATGAAGCTCACCAGACACAGGCTACCGCAGCAGGTCAGACTCCCCCCCAGGGCACGGGAAAGGAGGGGAAAGGGAGGCTAGAGGAGTTTATAGAGGGGGGAAGGTTAGTTATGGGGGGGGGCGGGACTTAGCCGCCAGGTGGGAATCAGGTGAGAGGAGGAGCTTAAATAGATTTCCTGCCCCTCCCCAATTCACCAGACCCCACCCCTTTCCCAGAGCGGGGAGAGAACCCAGGAGTCCTTGCTCCCAGCCCCCCCTGCTCTAACCCACCAGCCCCACTCCCCTCCTAGAGCTGGGGAGAGAACCCAGGAGTCCTGGCTCCCAACCCCCTCACCGCTCTAACCACCAGCCCCCACTTCTCTCCCGGGTCCAACACCAAC